AGAAAATCTAAACAATGTGATTTAGGATCGACCAAGATAAAACATATGAAATTATCCTTTCCTAAATCTTAAACAAACTGAGGAACTTCTATATGCTTAAGAATTAAGTTAGACAATTTCTGTGTTTGGTAGTTAATTCTTACAATTGATTGTTCACTGATTAGTGACGGTCGAATTTCATCGATTAATTTACAATGTGGACACGCACAAGTGCACGACGATGCTATGTCAATTAAATCGACAAATCAATTTAGAGTCTTCCATTAACACTTAGAAGTCGGAATATAGCAACTACTTAACTAGTTCTATGATTTTATGGGGTATTTACCAAGTGAACTATGAAAGCTGCTCCTAGAGGTCAGTTAAAACTGTGTGAATTGGGTTAAAACACATGAACATTATCGGTTTCCTCAAGATTACAGATAAGCCAACAGGAATAAGATTTAGTATAAACGTCGTTATCTGCTGACTGTCTACAGAATGTCACGGGAATTTACGATGATTTAATCCTAAATCATCAAAAATATTATACAAATTGAGATTAAAAGTCATAACAAATCAGAATGATGGATTTCGAATGGAAAGTAGCTTCCAGGACATTTGACAGAAGCACTCCAAGTAAGGACAGGAGTCAAACAAGGTTCCCAACTCTTCCTCATTCTCTTTCTTCTGGTGGTGGTCGACTGGATGATGAAGACTTCCACATCTGAAGGAAAGAACGGAATACAATGGACAGGTTGGATGCAACTACACGATTTGAACCCTGTAGATCACCTGGTCCTTCCATCTCATATACATCAACGAATGCAGGTCAAGACAAACACTGTACCAACAGCTTCTGCAGCAATAGGCCTCAACATACATAAACGAAAAAGCAAGATCCTCAAATACAACACCAACCTAATCATACTTGATGGAGAAAATCTGGAAGAGGTGGAAACATTCATATATTTGGATAACATAGTCAATGAACGTGGATGATCTGACATAAAGGTGAGAAATGACAAACAAGGGCAGTACTTCTTCAACTGAAGAACATATGAACCTTAAAACAACTGTCTTCAAGCCAACATCAAATTCACAATCTTCAATGCGAATGCTAAGATAGTTCTAATGCAAGAAGCTGAAACTTGAAGAACTAACACAACCATCATCAAAAACGTACAAGTAGTTGGGAAAAGACGTTGGAAGTGGATATGACATATATTGAGAAAATCACCAAACTGCACCACAAGGTAATCGCTAGCTTGAAATCCTGAATTGAGACGGAAAATCGTAAGTCCGAAGAACTCACTGCATCGGGAATCGGAATTAGACATTAAAATGATGGATAGCAACCGGAAACAAGTGGAAAGGATTGTGAAGGACAGAGTCTGATGGAGAATGCTAGTAGGCGACCTATGGTCCATGACAAGGCGTAACAGGCGTAAGTAGCTTCCAGTAAGTGTATACACGAATAAAAATATAACCCACACAACTAAGAAACCGACACTTCATCATGTGGACTTGATTTCCACCACAATTATAATAAGCTTGAAAAGGTTTTCACACACACGCACACACAACATAAAGATATCCACTTCAAACCTTACAAGATTCTTAATATTAGATACAGAAAATCGATAAATCGATTTTTATGGTTTAAGTTACTTTTCATGAATAATGACTGTATGAAGATGAAGTTTAATTTGTTCTCTAAACGATCAAGATAGCAACAATAATAAGTACATCGATACAATTTATTCAATATTGATTTGAGCAAAACAAATAAACTATAATTGTAAATTAAAACAACACATTATGGATTCACGCTATGAATTCACGCTACTACCAGTAGTAGTAACACATGATTATATTAAAGGTACAAAATATCAACATGTTTATGCAATAGATGTATAATATGTGTAGGCCTCTTCATATATATAAAGAGCGGATATTCGAAATGGACTGTTATGCAATATAGTGATAACGAAGATCAATTTTTGTGTTAGAAAAATATATTGTGGAATAACAAAACTGTATAACTTCAATTCCAAATGAACTCAATTCATTTCACATGTAAACGTGATATATACATTCGGATTTTGAGACGATCAGTATTATAACCAACACAAAATCTGAAAAATATGTGTATCCGTTCAAGTCCTCATACTGAAGTAGTTGAGCGTGTCGAACGATTTACTTATCTTGAGAGTCTCATCAGCCTTTGTGGTCTGGTGTGTGACGAAATCTTAACACGGATACAGAAAGCTCGACTAGCTTTTGCCAACTTGCATCATTTATGGCGTAGGCGAGATATCCGTCTACCAACCAAAGGACGAGTTTACTATACAGCAGTTCGTTCCGTCCTACTTTACGACAGTGAAATATGGCCGGTAAGAGTAGAGGACATTTGTAGGTTACTAGTATTCAATCATACGTGACTTAGAAGCATTGCTCGTACATCCTAGGACCATCGAGTAAGTAATGCAGTTGTTAGGAAACGGGTACTAGGTAAGGATGGCAAATCAATTGATAAGGTAATGAAACTTCATCAGTTGAGATTGCTGGGACATGTGTTACGTATGCCCAACGACCGACTGCCTCGACGAGAGATGTTTTATGGTGTAAGAGTAGGTTGCAAGAAAGTTAGCGGCGACCAGACCAAAATATGGCAAAAACCCATGAAGTCACAGACAAGTGGACTGAGCCATGTTGGTATGTGTAGACTAGTTGGTTGGGATCCGCGAGAAGATAGCAATCGATGGTTAGAGACCTAGAATGACATGGTTCAAAATCGTTAGCAATGGCGCAGGTGCATTCACTCTTTGTGTTCTCCCAAATTCTAATCTTCTGAGTTCTTCATGTCCGTTTGTTTTTTATCTTTCCAAATTTATATCACTGGATTATACTCCTTAAATAACATCTTTAAACTAATGTTTCCAATTACTGCTTATACTTTTACTACCTCTACAACTATGGGATTTGAATCAACAATTGTATCTCAGTGCTAATGTGGTATGGCAATTTGAACTGACGTACGTAGGTACGAAGTTCTAGGTTGTTGCTGACTGACTGCCTGACCAACACCGAAACGAAATTATAAAAACAAATATCACAGTAGTAGGATTAGTAGTAGAAGTAACAACAGCATCAATGACAGTAGGAAAGATTAAACCTAGACAGTATGATTCGAAAGGAAAAACTGAATTCACCGAATCAAATGTGTGAGGCTATTTTAAAACTCTACATATGAAGGAAGAATATGAATGAATGCAACTACTTCATTCTGACCAGTTCTAAACAACGTCACTCAACCTTTTCAACCATTGATTACAGTGATCATTTATACAGCAAGCAAGTAGTTTGTATGTACCAATACAGTTCAATCCAACAGTCAATAACTTCATGGAATAAAGTAATGTTTTGATCTACCTTCACCTAGATTTCTTACAGCTCACTCATACCTAAGCAAATATCATAAATGACGTAAGTTGGCAAAAGCCAAACGAACGCTTTGAATCCGTGCAGAGATTTCATCAGACACTAACCCATTAGGGCTGATCAGACGAGACAAGAAACAATTTAGTTACATTTCAGTCAAAATGAACAATTATAGATATAGACAACAAAGTTATTACACTTTTTTATAATTTCACTGTTCAGCATCTGCCGAAATTTTTTCAATAGTCATCTAATGAATATCAAATCGTGATGTTGCCAGACCATAGACAGAAAAAAAACATAAGGGGAACTTGATAAGGAATAATAATAATAATAATAGAGGTTAAGCGTTAGCGTGCGAGACTGATAGGTCCTGTATTCGAATCCCGCGAGTGGGATCGTGGATGCGCACTGTTGAAGAGTCCCAAACTTGAAGGGAACGGCCATCCAGTGCTTCCAAGTTTTTCATGGTGGTCTAGACTTAATTGACTCATGAATTCAACTACTGAATAATAATAACGCCGATTTCCGTGTACAGATTAAAAAAGACGACAGTGTCCGAAAAAGATAAATAATCAAAGAATGAAATAACAGTATTCGAAATTTCAAGAAAGATATTGAACCAAATCACACATGAAAAAATGTTCCATTACAGATCATAGTGACTTCGTAAACACTGACGGGAAATTAAGATTAAAAATCAAACTAACTAATTCATTAGGTACTTGGGTATAAGTAACACCTTAAGTGTGACGTTTAGTGATACTATTCGGTTGTCCAAACAGAAATAAGTAGAGAGGGGTTCAAGCCTGGGACTTAGTGATTGAAAGTTGAACGCCTCAACCACTAAGCTATCGCTTCTCTCACCAACCACCAGAAGACCTGTGCATATGCCAACATGATTAAATCGAACTTTTGATGACATGATGTGCAAATGTCATATCCTGATTCGATTATTCCAAATGCCCTGATACGGTCGAGGCTAAAGGAAAGTTCGCTCTCCCTCTCGAAATGCTCTCACATGGCCACGAGAATACAGCCTACTTATTGCCTTCTCGAGGCAATACTGTTCCTTACAAAATTGAGAGGACGAAAAGCGAATGTCCGGCACTTTAATAGTGTTGGTAGACACGGTGGATCCACCTAGAAAAGTTGGAAAACCCTCACTCCAAACCAATGGTGCACACAGGTTTCAGGATTCCGAATGAACAAACGGAGTGTGAACCAGTTATTGGTCACCGGCTATCATAGGACTACATCTCCTTACGTTGCTCTACTGTCTTGTAGATCAGACCTTTAGATTGTAGGATCTGGGTGCGGCCCCATTACAAAAACATCTGCTTCGTTCTGGGCATCCGGGCAGTCCACACATAAATCAAGTAGCTTGTGTGGCGCATATGTATTCGGTGCCCCTTTCTACCGATATTTACTTGTTCAAATAGATAAACAGGATGCACATATGCCAAAAAGAGGCTGACCAACTGCAGGTCTTAACTTCAACAACGGGAGGATAGAAATATCCGCTATAAATGAACTAACGTTAATATCCATTTAAAGAAGGAAGAGAGAGAACTTACTTCAAAATTGACTAGCAAATGTTGTGAACTACCATGTGGTACTGGTGTACATGCCATAGTATTTGCTAAACGACTTGTTATATTTTTATGTGGTTGAAAACCACGACCTCCAGACGGTGGTGCACTACAACTTAATTCAATTGAATCCATTTCTACAGGATAATTACGTCGTCTTGCTCCTGTTACTGTATGTCGATTATTAGAACCACCAATGATAGAACTATTAACAGTATTACGTTCAAATGATTGTTCTTGATATTGAGATGTAAATCGTAGACTAGATGGTCGTCGACGAAATGATGTAATAGTTTGATTTGATTTATTGCTATTAGTTTCATTATTATCATTACTACTGTTATCAGTATTATTATTGAATTTTTTGTCAGATTTTAAACTTTCCATCCCTGATGAAGGTTCTTGAACATGATCTGTATTGATTTCACTGGAATTTTGCAAATTATGATTGTATACCATACAAATAGAGCTAAAAAAAGAAAATAATGGGTATTAAACAGAATCGATATATAAAGATATTAGGAAAGAAGAAGGAGACAAAAAAGAGGTCAATAATTGAACTTGATCGGTAATTATATTCTATACAATTTGAACAGATAATAACATTACTTGATACCCTCCGGAAACGCAAACTTTTAACCTAAAGAACCTTGTATGTTTTCGATTAAGTATGAATACACATACATAATATAGCCATAAGATACCAGAAATATTGAACCATTTAGTAGTGGTGAAGAGGAAGGTTGAGTAACACACTACGTCGGGAAATGGAAGCAGATATGAAAAGGATGAATAGCAACTGGAAAGGTTTGACCAGGACACGGTTGGATGGAGAGTGCTGGTGAGCGGCCTATGCTCTTCCGTGAGAGGTAACAGGCGTAAGTAATTTTATATCATGATTACAGATATTTTCATTGTGAAAGGCAGCGATAACAATTTTAAAAATTGATGTTAGAACCCCTTGACAACTTTTTGGAACTTTTAGAAATCAGTAAAATGTTAGGACTTCTCCAAGCAATCAGCGTTTTTTATTAATACGATCATGAATTTGTTACTTATTTTAGTATGCTATTAACAATTTCTTTCCGGAATCTCAGGGTCACTCATAATCCTGTGAATACCCTTGATTTCTGTACAATCATCAATCTTCGAAGTAAAGCTTTTTGTATACTCCGCAACTTGTGTTTTCTGTATGGAGTTCACGAGTAGAAGACTTTTTACAACCAGAAAGCTATTATAAAGTCTAATTATTATTTATGCACAACATAAATCAAGAAATTTTGAACGAGAAATAAAATTTGATCGTTTTAGAAAAATGAAATGCTTCTATTATCGTTCTGGACAATAAGATCAGTGTCCGACTCAAGTATAAGTTAATCGACGTAGGTACTGACGAGATAGTCCAGAACAATAACGAAAGCCAACTAAGAGAACGCAACAGCCTGTGATTTAATTTTATGAACCAACCGTTGGAAGTCAGGTTTAAGTACCACCCATCAAGACCTGACGTAAAACTTTAAGAACAGTATCTACATAGAACCTGGAATGCCTTAGGGTGACATTGCTTATGGAATCGATACTGATCGAAGTTGAAAGCTGCCCTGGTACGGCCGAGGGTGAGGAAAGTCAGCTCTTCCTCTCAAAATGCTCTCACATGGCTACGTACATACAACCACTGACAGGGAAGCCCTACTCACTGCCTTCTCGTGGCATTACTGTTCTTCACGAAGTTGAGAGGACGAAAAGCGAATATACGGCGCTTTAACCAGGTTGGTGAATACGGAGGATCCATCTAGGGAGTCGGAAAACCCTGATTCCAAACAAAATGGCGTATGAACCTATTGTTGGTTACCAGCTACCATCAGACTGTATCTTTTGACGTTGCTCCATTGCCTTGTGGATCAGACCTTTAGGTCAAAGGCTCTGGGTGTGGCCCCGTAGGAAAATTACTTGCTTAGGTCTGGACATCCAGTTAGTATCACAGCCCACACGCAAATCAAGTGGCTTGTGTGGATCATATGTATTCAGTGCCCCTTTGTACCAATGTTTGTGTTCAAACAAATAAATAGAGTGGGGTGGGAATCATGATCTATTAAAGACAAAATTATTCTGTTTCAGTGTTTAGGACTCTTTAACTACAATTAATTCATGATGTAAACTATGGAAATTCAACAACTCAAATAATCAGTTCCCTCTCCCACCTGTAGCAATACAAAAATTGTCTTGATAAAAGTGTTTAGTTTTGCATTAATAATAGTAATAATTAATGTATGTATTGATGTTTAGGACTCCAATTGATCAGTCTCTTATTGGCATATGTGCATGCTCTGTGGATGGCCTCGATATTGCCTTAATTCACAAACATTCTAAGCAAAGACGAATAATGGATAGCAGTGGAATCTAGGATGAGTGTTTCGTCCCATTCGTGACTAATCAGAAGGATGTAACTGTATCTCAGAGTTGATGTTTAACCTGAGACACGGCTGACACATTTGGAAACATTAAATCATTCAACTTTATTTATTAATCAACCTTTTATTTATTCATTTTAACCATGTAAAATTCTTTCACCATTATTAATTCTAATCCGTAACACCACCTATGATCAAATAATCACAAACTTTTTATGCTAAGACTTAGGCTACTACTACAACACCACCGAATTCCATACTGAACACTTAGGTAGTTGGAAGTAGTCAGCGAGAAACCTTGTTTTCCTGAGGTTCTGTACTAATTGGAACTTATAAGCAAGGTGTATCGGCAATTCGGAGGTGTCACCAAAAAGCGATTCAGGACATCACTGACTTCATGTACGAATTACATATCTATAATTGATTGGTCGTTGTGTATTAATTAACATCATGCTTGTCTAGTGCTTTAATGCTGACCATATTCTACTGATCAAGTTGTAATGTAGAATACTATAATTATGGTAAAATTAAACCAAAGAAATACAATTTTAATTTTACCTTCTAGATGTTTTCATGCGATTCAATGATAAATCGAAATCAAACTTTCCACTTGTACTTCTTTTGAGAGGAACCTAAAAAGTATAAGAGAGGTGATACATATTTCATAAGGATTGAATTAAATCAGCAAATTGATTAATCAAATGATAATGGTTGGACACAGACAGTTGTCAAATATCTTCAGGTAAGAGATCTTGGGTTTTCGATATTTGGAACAGTATCTTCAACTGGAGCACTTTATTCTTTATTTTCAGAACGAAGCTGGAATGATGCTAGCTTAGAAAGGTAACTTAGATCCATATATTACTTTCGTTTTTATTATACAAACAGTAGATTTATGTGGCATATCACTAGCATCAAATCCAGACTGTTGCCTCAATTCTTGGGAAAAATCAAGGGGTACGTCATCTGATTTGTGTTATGAAGTGTCTCAGCTTTCGAAATATCTTTTAGAACGTATCATTTAGGCTGCCTAGATTCAATAGTCATGAATTAAACAATAGTTAGCAGAAATAGCTGGACAACTCAGCTAGATGAATTGACAAAGGGATTTTATCTGCTTTTTTAAGCGTCTAGGTACATTATTCCACTTGCAGATTGTTTTAACAACATCAACTTTTGTGCATTTGACAGCTTGAATAAGATGGAGTAAGTTACAGACGATAGCCAAATGTAGCTACATCTACCATCTTTACAACGCATTTTGATTTCTAGGTTTTGTGGTTTTTAAGTATGTTCACATTAACAGTTGGTTTTTACGAGCTAACCCCATGTTCACTTACTACTAGTCAACAACTGTCATACATTAGAGAAGACAGAAGCTGGTTACATTTAAAACAATCTAGTCAATTGAATTATGACCGATTCAACTATTTGCACTGTCTGTGATTGCTAACCTAAATGAACAATACACACTTTTTGTTGGTCTTATTAGATCAAAGTAAGCATTAAGAAATATATATACCCACAAATACCCTGGTGCAGCCGAGAGTGGGAAGAGTTCGTTTTCCCTCTCCAAACGCTCTCACATGGCCACATGCATGCAACCACTACCAGGGAAGTCCTGCCTTCTCATGGCAGGGGTGTTTATTGCGAAATTGAGAGGACGAAAAGCGAATATCTGACGTTCTAAACGGGTTGGTGGACACGAAGATTCCACTTAGGGGAGATAGAAAACCCTCATCCCAAACCAATGGTGCACATGGGCTCGAGTATCCTGAAGTAACAAATGGCGTATAAACCTATTGTTGGTCACTGGCCACCATGGGACTTTGATCTTTAGGTCGACCGCTCTGAGTGTGGCCCCCTAAGAAAACAACCTGCTTCGGTTTAGACACCCGGATAGTATCCCATCACTCACATAAATTGAATGATTTATGTGGCGCATATCTATTTGGTGCCTCCTTATACTAATTTTTATGTTTAAATAAATATAAATAAATAAATAACCATATATATGTGACTTACATACATTTCTCCAAACAATTCACTGTACAGCATAATTTCTATCTAATTAACATATAAATATGTAATTTAATAGTTGATTTCATGAGTCAGTGAAAGCTAAACCACCATAGAACATCTGGAAGCACTGGATGGTCGTTTCTTCCTAGTACGAGACCCCTCAACTGTCCAATGCTTCCAGGTTTTCCATGGTGGTTTAGCTTCAATTGACTCACAAATTCAACTATTAAATTACTATAATATCCATAAAATCCCTCTCTGAATATAAATATGTCCTATAGAGCGATAACTTGCGTAGGTTAGTAAAACATAAAACAGTCTTTATATTTATGTAATAAGCAATCAACCATAAAAGTATTAGAGAAATTGAACGTTAATGGAATGGTCTATACGTTACTTAATCCACCTAGTGACAAATGAAAGTACCATATATATACGTCTATCCATTAAGCCAGCGGTTGTCTGCTTCTTAATAATCATAACTGAAATAGATTACATTTATTAGTTTATAATTGAAAATGTACTAAAAGTGTATTATTTATAGATTGTTTTACGTCTTATGCTAATGTTAAGCTCCTTCATATTCAATTCATAAATTGTTTTTCATGTCCTAGCAACCTCTTCCCCTCCTCCTCCTCCTCCTCTTCCTCCCTTCTACCTCCCGAAAAAAAGTATTAGAACATTAAAGTGTAGCAATAAATGGAATTCCTTTTTAAAATGACATACGTCATTTTAAACAACGAAAAGTAATGTAAGTTCTATTAATACACAAATTACACAATATTACCAAATATAGGTATTGTTATTTCAATCAAAAATGGAGAAATAAACATTCAATGTAAAACAAAATAGAGCAAAAGATAACATGAAATGATGATGTAACTCAAGTATCAAATACTAAATAGTGTACTCAGGTTTTAGTCATAATTTGTGTATATAGAGTAATGATATTATTATCCAATTGATCAGATCAAAAGTGAAACAGAATTCAAACTTATAATCTAGTTGTTAAAAGTCAAACATCTTGATCATTAAATTATCGCTTTACGGAGTAAGTAAGTGGTCAAAATGTGGAAAAAGTACTCCATTATAATTGCTGTATTACCTTTTGTAGTAACTAAAATGTATTAGAATTTTGGAGATAAAGTATAAAACATTGCGAGCAATGGTTATATATATAGCCTATGCCAGAGAAGTCCTACTCACTGTCTTCTCGTGGCAGGGGTGTTGTTTACATAATTGAGAAGACGAAAAGCGAATGTCCTGCGCTTTAACCGGGTTGATAGATACGGAGAGTTTACCTAGGGGAGTTGGAAAACCCTGATTCCAAACCAATAGTGCACATGGGCTCCAAGATCCTGAGAGAACAAAAGGCGTGTGAACCAATTATTGGTCACCGGCTTCATATCATTCTACGTACTAATTCTTTCTTCCTGTACTACATCCTTATATGCAATCTTTCTTTTATATATTACGACCATTGAATTAACTACTTCTATGAATCCGGTGTTCATCTTGCTGTGCTAATGCAGTATGGCAACTTAGACCGATGCATATATATGCCTAGTCCTACGTTGTAGCGCTGACTGACTGACACCGGCTACCATGGGGATGCATCTCCTGACGTTTCTCCACTGCCTTGTGGATCAGATTTTCAGGTCAAAGGCTCCGGATGTTACCCTCTAAGAAAATCACCTGCTTCGGTTTGGGCACCCGGGTAATATCACAACCCTCACACAAATCAAATGAGATTTTTGTGGCGCATATGTATCTGGTGCCTCCTTGTACCAATATCTATGTGTTCAAATAAATAATGTTTCAATGATTCATAAACTTAACTTCTAAACACTCAATAATTCTTTCAAAACAAATGTATAAGATATATGGAAACTTTACAAAACAGTTTAGAAAGAACATATCTTCATTTATTACATCAGATTATATCATGTGATTAAACTTCAAATTTATAATAATTCATATTTGAGTGGGACTTAGTGATAAGAAACTTCACTACTGATAGTTACAGTGTTTAATTCATCAACTAAGGCTGTCGGAACGTGTAATATGTATACCCAACCACCGCCTACCTCGACATATGATATTTGCTTAGGTATGAGTGAGCTGTAAGAAATCTAGGTGAAGGTAGATCAAAACATTACTTTATTCCATGAAGTTATTGACTGTTGGATTGAACTGTATTGGTACATACAAACTACTTGCTTGCTGTATACATGATCACTGTAATCAATGGTTGAAAAGATTGAGTGACGTTGTTTAGAACTGGTCAGAATGAAGTAGTTGCATTCATTCATATTATTCCTTCATATGTAGAGTTTTAAAATAGCCTCACACATTTGATTCGGTGAATTCAGTTTTTCCTTTCGAATCATACTGTCTAGGCTTAATCTTTCCTACTGTCATTGATGCTGTTGTTACTTCTACTACTAATCCTACTACTGTGATATTTGTTTTTATAATTTCGTTTCGGTGTGTAGGTATAGTGTGGCGACTTGAACTGATACACATGTTTGTCAGATTCTGTGTTAGTTATGACTGACTGCCTGATAGCCTAAGTTATTTTAGCACAACTACCACTGTAAAATTTATTGTTCATGGTATTTGGAAGAGAAACAGCTTAGTTGGATACAGCTAGGACTAGGATAAAAGATCCGTCGCTTCCGTCATCTGTCGTATATAACCGATCAGAAAAGTCTATCGGCTCACCTACTGGTCCAGCAGTCACTGGCTATTTTTTCAGACTGACTGTTTAAAACTTACTCTTCTAAAAATTAGTAAATGTCCTTTTTTATATTCACTTATAAGACCAGTGAACTATAAATGAAGGTTCTGATATGAACTTTTGGAATTATGAATTGATCTTTCAGGTTTTATAACACTGAGCAACATGGCTCAGAACTGATTGCAATGGTGTAAAAGTATTCACTCTTTAACGTCCTTTAGATCTGAAGTTCCAGTATTTATTCGTTTGTACCTTTTCATTCAATCTTCTGGAACTATATTCTAAAACTTGAGTCTTTCTTACGGTCATTGTCATTACAACTGCTTCAACTCTTAAGCTGTTGCACTTATTAATTTATTCTCTTTGTGATGATGTGAGGTAGGAAGTCGGACAAACGCATATTTGTGAAAGGTTACATATTGATTATGACTGACTGAGTTATCTTTGCACATGAAATTAAATCCAAATTAGTAGTGACTATAGACAAGATGATGTATCAGACTAAGGATTTTCTTTATAACAAGCTCTGATTCAGAGGATCACATAGATCGTAAGTTCGAATTTTTATCAACCCGCTTACATTTGAGAAGCTAAACGATGTTACTAACTGAACACCAAAATATATCGCTCATAGCTGAGTAGAGGAATTTGTACTTGGTTAATGAGTGGGATCGGTCAACTAAGGCCATGACTATTTAGCTGTTAGATAGAAAAAAAGAATAAATTGTCATATAAACCTTTAACTCTGTATAGTTTATAGGCCAACTTGGTACCAAGTTGAATTATATCTCTTAAAAGCGACATTGTTGCAATAGTGAAATAATTACTCTAATGCAAGGAAAACAATAGCAATATGCTACAAATATTTCGCATTATTACAGTTATTTAGGCACATTGAATAAAGGACAAAAATGTAGATATGTGCCAAAAGCCACAACCAGAACTATGGGGTATCATGACACTAACGAATGAACTTAGGTGATATAACATTGAAAACTGCAATAACCTTCAAATGATATCCAGAACAAACTCCCAAAGAATTGATAATAACTTGGAAATGAATAAGATGGCACGATGGAGTTTATCTATACTCAAGCATAGATTCACAAATAATATTTTTGAGTGAGTGTACTAAAAAATTGATAACGAAACCTTGATATCACAAAATGGTAATGTTAACGTTAACTACCAATTAAAATAAGCTATTCACTAGGTATTTGAGTATGATCCACACTCTAGGAGGACTAATAATACTACCCGGTAACCTTAGCCAAGGTAGATGGAGTGGATTTTGGATATCAGTCGAAAGTTAAACGCATTAACCACTAGACGACAGTTAAACAGTAGTTGAATTAATAGAATTTTCGCCATTTAAATCAAAGTCAGGGTAATATGTAGGATATTATCTTCCATATAAATAGCTGCAATACTAATTTATAAAATGTGATGACGAGTTAATTATATTTTAAGATATGACTTTGCCATTCATGAAATATATCAGTTACAAAACGATCCTAACAGAAAATAGTTTTCACATGCCATTATGAAATATCCCGGTTCGACTTATCACAAATTAATCTTAATAAAACCAGCATAGTATGTTTAGTAAGATAATGGAGGCTAACAACCCTTGTGAGCACGCATACAGTCTGAGTCTGCTTTTAATTTTGCTCGCTTAAGAGTCACACAAAGAATGGAATGCTTCAAGTCCAACACTTGTCACCTAAACACATCTACTTCAGGATATCATATACAGAAGTTGTATGTTAATAATTTTATGTACACCTGCCAGATGAGTGAGAGAAGAACGTGTTATCGGGGTTTCGAAAAATCATTGGAATTCGAAAGACCAGACTTACCGGAGATGATTGTAAAGGCAATCCAGTACGGCGGTTGAAGAAAGGAGTGCCGTCATTGTGAAACGATGATGAAGGCCAGACGGATACGGAAGTAGCGTTTCGTCTCCTGCTTAATCTAGGCACCGGTTGAGAACTAGCACTCGGTGATGTTAATAGTACTGAATCCTCTGAATCTGTGCCTAGCTGAGATTCAGATGCATGGTCACGCTTTTTAGCCGTACTATAACTGAGTTGGCTACATTGTATGGAGTCTCTGTGCACATCGAAGGGAGAAGAAAAACAGGCATTAACAGGTGGTATACATACTGAACCAATATTCGAATCGTCAACTGAGTTCATAATTAGGTCACGTTCGACATTCAGTAGCGTGAATTCTGCAATTACTTTGTTAATACAGCCTTCACGTTGCACACCTGGAGTTTTGTTTATGGTAGGGGTGACGGAAGAGGGCATTTCATTGGAGTCATCTGAATCTTTTGTTTCGGAACTAAGTTCATGAGCGTAACAACTGATACGTTGCTGTTTACGGGGAGGTGACTCTAGAGGAATCTGGCATATTCTATTGGAGTCAGTCAAACGAGATGACTTTTTTGTTAAAGTCGAGTGACCTGATTCGGTACAATCCAAAGAAGAGCAGGGTGGTAGGATGTTGTAAAAGGGGTTATCAAACGTAGATTGTATAAACTTTTCTTCTGTATCTGCCATGACAACAATAGGACTTCTGACAACTTCTTCGTTTGAAGAGCATTTAGGTAAGTTAAGAAAGTTTGGCGGATGTACATTAGGCTTTCCGTAGGTTGTACGAGAAACAAGTGCAGTGTTCTTTTTACGAACATCCAAGTCTACAAAAGTTTCAGGTGAATGACATCTAGCACGACTAAGCATAGTGAAGCTATCTTTATTTGTTGAGTAAGTTGAATTTAGGCAAAGTGGACAACCAAGAAACTGTTGGGGAAGATGTTTTAGCGTTACAACAGTGATGTGCAAAATCTCCTTTTCACTAATACAAACAGGTGTAAAAACTCGTTTAATAGGACTTTCACAACCATCCATCTGACGAACTATTTTTGAGACTGAACTACCATCATGATCATCATCTTGACTGTTTTTATTCCTGTCACTTAAACAGTCCATACTCAGTATATCTGATGCATCCATAAGAAAAGAATCACCCACTTGAGAAATGCGATCACATACATAGGATCTGTAAAGGAAGACAAACAAGAATGGAGTTAATAGTACTAAAAAAGACAACTAGTTACTAAGTTTGGAAAAAAGATGACACCAACCTGTGAGTAAGCTTATATCTGCGAGGGCGACCTGGTTCTTTGATTGCAGCCATTAAAGGGGATGTTTGTATGTAGTCCAAGAGCTCACTCTGACAACCGGAAATAGAGATTCCCCTATTTTTAAAACTGAAAGTTTCAAATGAGACAACAGACAAAATCAAATTGAGTGTACTTAAAAAAAAATACTATGACTTGTAAATTCAGGCAGATTGCCTCAGATTACAACATTCTAAATACCCAAGACACAGAATAATAACAAAAAAATCAAACAAAAGAGTGCGTGAGCACATTATAAGTATCGTTGAATTACTTCTGAGGGAGAACTTGGGCTGTCCATTGCTCCATAACATAGACAGGAAGCTGATTATCTCCACAGTGTTCTAAACAGTTTTCTCCGACTAAAAGTGTTTCGATGGTTAGCGTCAATTTATCGCACTGAGAACTTCTCCGAACATCATCACAACAATTATCCTAAGAAAATGTGTTAATCGAGCAAGTAACATGCCTTGGTAAACGCTTTATCCCCTTCATTCTTATTAATTCTAGGTGTCCCGACACTAGCTCCATCTATATATTCAACTAATCCGCCATAGATTTTAGATTGCTGAGACAATATGAACCTGCATATACATTGTAGGACACCAGGACTTTGGTTGCTACCACATAACTTAGGATTAGGAACTTGGGAAATTAGTGATACTGTAACGCCTGAACCTACTTGGTGCATTTTCTAAAGAACCATTGTCAATCATGCTTAAGGATTTCGGGATTTAGTATTAATTTGGATATTTAATTAAATAGCTTTGCATGTATTCACAGAGATTGTCCCAGACGTTCTAAGGCAAAGCTACCGTTTTGTTTTTGCACATGAGTGTTGAAAACTGCAATTCATACATCTGTTATATTTCTAGCTTGTTACGCCTAGGTGATAAGCTACACGCCACGAATGACAATCAGCTGTTTCGATGATGAAAACTGGAAAACAGCTGATAGGTCGGGAGGGGCCAGGTAACCTTGATAACACTTCAAACAATACTGAGATTTTAACTAACAAAGAAATATTTCGATGCTAATCACTATAAAATATTTTGTGTTTGTTTTCAACTAAAACTTAAAGTTTCAATTCTTATAGTCCTGAAGCAGACTACTCCTTTTTTCTGCTTACAGTATCTGGATTCAGATTCTTCGAGTTGAAACTGAAAGTTATAGTCCTGAGTTAGTCCTTTTGTAGCACGTCACTATATTTATCCAGCTTTCCTTCGAAAAAGACGATGAAGGCATCAGATATTATTTTTTCACCAGCAGATTCTAGGATATGATCCTACTGGGTAAACTGGTAGTTCTTTGCTTCCGCTTTAATTCGTTAACTGTCCTGAGTTGCTATAATTTACTTGATAGGTTAAAAGTCATTTATTACCCTACTGTGCACAATGCCTAATTTATCTGTTTATCTTTTAGGGCCAGCCAAATGTCACTAAGCCCTAGCCAAATCATCCGGCAGTTGGGTCATTGATTATCAAACAAATCATCGATCCTCGTCAAGGTAAAGGACAACCAACGAGCATCAGTTAATCGTATGCCATGGACTGGTCCGTGCGGCAGTGGTCTCATTTCCGCTTGTATCTACGCTAACTAATATATTTCTGTAGTAACGTCCTCTGTGTCGTACAGTCTTCAAAGCATCTATGGTACCTTGATACGTCAATCGGGTAGTCCACGTAAGGTGCTGACCAGAGGTTTGACTTCGACGTTGGCTAGTTTGTCGCACCATTCACGTCTAACTCGAGTAGGCCTCCAATCATTTTCGACATGGATCATCTACGTCGGTTATCTACAATCTTATATCGACGCGTAGATTTAATAATATGTAGGACCAGTGAAATGTCACTGAGCCCAAGCCAAATCATCCTACAGTTGGGTCACTGAATCTGGAGTAGTTAATCGACCCTCGTGAAAATCGAGAGCAACCAACATACACCAATAAGTTGCATGCGATGAACTGGCCCATGCGGTTGTGCTCGCAACTTCTCCTCTGTACCTACTGTTACCAATACATTTATGTAACAACGTCCTTTGGATTATGGAGTCTTCAAAGCACCCATAGTACTTTGATACGACGGAGAGGTAATCCACGTTTACTGCTGACAGCAAGGTGTGACTTCTAACTCAGCTGTTAGTCACACCATTCCCGTCTAACTCTAATAGGCCCCCTATCACTTGGCATAGATCATCTGCATTGGTGATCCACAGATTTCTATAAACACGACTCTGTATGTGCTATCTTTTTTTCAGTGCACGTTTCAAATGCACAGACATTTCATTTATGACGAATTAATAACTGCGTCACCATTAACATTCAAACAAATATCTAGCGGTAAACAAATCCTCAACATAAATAGCTCTATAAGTTATTACCGAGTAAAAATGTATTCATTAATACTCCGTTAATGAATCTACTTCAAATCCACTCGCTGAGATTTCAGAAATATATTCTTCCTCCCTAACGTTCCACATCAACTCGGCGCCCAAATACTGTGAAACCATTCCTTTCGATTTAGATGAAAGTTCTTATTTAGTTCTGTTAGTCTTTAAAATTTATGCTAACATTAGTTTTACTGGACGCATTTGCTGATGGCTTCCTGTCACGCACACCAGATCACGTATATATACCCTGTGTTACACAGTTCTTGCAACTGCTAGCCTACCTACATCGAACGCTTTCAACATATCGATGGTTTGCCAAAAATATCTTCGAGCCTCTTCATTCCTGACTTCTGATTTGACTGCGTGGTATACTTTGATTATAAAAGTTCTACGAGCCAAGGAGTTGTCAAATTCCGAATACTTATGGCACCTTCTAATACTACCTACTCCGTTCCATTTCTGCTTTACCAGCTGCAGTCTTTGTTTGATTGCAACACTTCTGTTGAACGTTTTTAAGTCGCTCTCCACCTTTTAGGGATATTGTCCTGGAATAATTTTCAATATGAGACTACATTTGTGTTTCTCTTCACGCCATCTTTGCTCGCTGTGTTCGAGGACATTTATTAATCCAATTAGTTCTGTTTGTAATGGCCAGTCAAAAAGAAGTTTTAAGTAACATTGGTTACTCATATTTTGTTACGGTTTTATCATTCCAAAGCGAATTTCAGTTAAGGGTGTCTTACTGTTTCCCTTATGTAGATAATGCCATTTCAGTTGTTTTCTTATGATTCATTTTACATGATCGGGTTTCAAAATTCATTAATGCACTTCATGGCTAATCAGAAGAGCACTTTTTGACTCATATATATATATATATATATATATATATATATATATATATATATATATATATAAATCAGGGAAGCCAAGTAGCTGATTCTCTAAGTTTTGATTGTACTTATAAGCACTAGCCTGCAATGCAACGAGGCGAAAATGTAGAATTATCCATCTTGGACCATTCCGTTTAAGCAATATCTTCGCACTTTGTCTTACTGACTCTTCTCCTGACTTAATATTATTGTCATTATTATTCACAAACACCTTATGGGTACATAAGGGTTGTGAATAAACCATTTCGGGTTTCTTCAAAAATGTAATAACACGCAAGTTTCAATAATGTTAGCATTGCATTTGCCATATTTGAAAAGGAGAGTAATAACAACAGAATAATAAAAAGTCAGGTTCTGTGTAACTGAGAAGAATATTGAATTGAGTTTAAAGAAGGGAAGGGAAACGATAGGGGAAGAGAAATAAAGGAGACGTGAAATACGCAAACAGTTTAATAGGGGTGTTTATGAACACGGAACAAGAATAGACGACTATGTATGTATCGTCAAATTAGTAACAAAAATAAAATAGAAAATAAAGAAAATATGATTTGTTATTGTGGTAAGATGTCGTTTATATATCATACAGGGCCAAAAAATACAAGGAAATCTTTTTATGCTTCTTCTAAATGACTTCAAGTTAGTTAGTCAACTATGATCATGATCACCGGCCGAATCAAGAAAGGCTATCGATTTTAATGCATCGTGACTTTTATTCTTCACGGTTTCTGCAGAAAAAAGATGTGTGGCGCAGCATACCGGCAGACTTTCTCCTCTAAGTTTTATACTGTGTCATTTAACTTACTTGCTATCCAGATATCAAGGTTAATAAATGATATACTGACATATTTTTGCATTATAACATTTGATTCTACCAAGTGTTGAAAGAGAAAATTTAAATATCCCAATTATGTCACTGATTCACATACATTTCATGGCAAATATGCGGCATTTACGATCTCCAAGCCTGCGTAATGATATAAGGTATGGTAACATAAATCTGGTTTCTATTTTCATATGTACCTAATCGATAGCTCTATTCAGTTAATACTGTGCATAACCTATGTCTTTGTTTAAGTTTCATGATTCTCAACGTCAACAACCTTGCTACAAATTGATTAGTTCTAATTATTCTGCTAATTTGATTTTCTCGAATACGATGCACTAGTTTTTTTAGGATTATTTATTTATGTTGACAAACTTTGGTACCGACACGCCTAAACTGTCTTTTTAGATGGCTTCGATATTCCGAACAAATTTTTTGCGTCAGCAGCATCACTGTGGAAAAGGCACCAGTTGTATGAGACGATTTTTGGCCTCTAGGAACGTTGTCAAATGATGTTCTTGAGATTCCTCTGACACACTTATATCAATCTCGTAGACCATTTTGGGTTTTGTATGTACTAATGTAGTGGTATTGAAACCTAACCACACAATCCTCAAAGCTCAACACGGGACAGTTGTGGAAAGAAATAGTTAACAGTTAATGCGTAGTAAAACCCAACGATGAATAAGGCAGGGACAATGAGTTGAATTAATTCGAATTGGTCGAACGGCATGTCTCGAACTTGCAGGCGTGGTCCCTGTTGAATGCATTTTTTGTGTCTTTTACTCATATTAAATATGCTGTTCTATCTCCAGTCTGAATGTGTTCCCCATCATATATCGATAATTGTTACGATACGATGAGTCAGTGTAGACAATGATGTGACTTCCACGTAAAGTCTTATAGATTGGGCAGTTACATCATAACAAATCTACAATTTTATGATTAGGTCTATTATTAGATCAGTACTAATATCACAGTAGACCAGAATTCAACTTAACACTGCCGTAGGGGTATATTAATATTATATTTTACAATCTTATCGCAAATTGATAAGTGACGTTATATTAGAAATTCATGTACTTGGAAGCTGTTTTGGTGTTATTGTGGTTATTTTCCCCTCATCTAGGATTAAAAATGAGAAAAGTCAAAATTTTTCAAAACCGATGAATGTTGTTTTACTTAGGGACATTTATTTCTGTATTTACTAATAAGTGAAGATTGTTGTACAGTGACCTCGGATCTCAGTATAGTGGCCGAAATATTATCATAGGTCGTTTTCCCAGACGTTGTGGTTATTAACCGTTCCAACAAACTAGAAACATTTATGATTGTGTCCCCTAAATTCAGCAATTCTACCAAAACAGCAACTCTTTTCAAATACAGTAGTGACAATTTTGAATTTCAGTGGGTCAACGTTATTTCCATATTATGTATATTACTCTGACTTCACTGACCACTAATTAACTGTTCAAAATAAGGTGTCGTTTCTTAACAAATATTAAATATGTTCAGCGAGTATAGCTTCTGTACAAACAAGTTATTTTTAATAACCTTGTCAAAACCTGTGTGGTATTTTTTGTGTATTAGCTACAGGTGTATATAAAACACCTGC